ATTACATTCATTTGCCGCGTTTCAAGTCTCCTCTCATCATCGCGCGATTTCATCCTCGCGAGAGACTTTTCAAAGGCAGCATTCCACCAAAGATTGCTGCATCTAGAGACGCAGCGTCGCGTCTTCGCGGCGTTGACTTCTCAAAGAATCTTGGCAGCCTGTTTATTTCCTTCCGGAGGACCGACGTCGCTCGTCTCCGAAATTCGCGGCGATCCGTCAACGTCCCTTCCAGCATTCCCATTTCCCTTGCTCGCGGCCCGCGAACCGCGCCAGGCATATTCCCGTCACGCCGTTGGAGCGACGGTAATCGAACGACGATCGCCTCGAGCCAGTCATTAGGCGACGCGACGTTTCGATGGCGGTGACAAATGGATCGGCGACGACGTGAAATTTGTCTCGGTTCTTACTTTCGAATCGCGGCGGGAATCACTTGTCGCGCGTTGCGCGCGAACTGTCGTCGGCGTTCCCAATTCTCGGCGGGATTCTCGCGTTGACGGGGCATTCGACGAATTCGACGCGTCCAGCTGACGGGAAGGTTCGACTGCGACGCTCGCGGATGGCTGACCCAAATACCGTTCGCCAGCGCGAAGATAACTATTCCGGCGATACCAGAAATTAACATACGCTCGGGCGTTTACACCTGTACGAAACGCGTAACACTTTTGAAGGAACTTACTCTGTAGATATGAAATTTTCCTGTTTGGAAGACTAAGTCGCAAGCAAATGATTCAATTACTGGAACACCAGAAGAGCTCGTAATTTCCTTTTCCTCTATTACGCAATTCATATATAATTTAGATATATCAAAGCTTTCGATTATATCAAAGAATCTTCATCCCCAAAGGGTTAACCCTTTGCACTCAAACTGTTCGGAAATATTCAACATTTCTCAACCAGATATACGTTGCTCGAATTTAACGGTAATTCACAGATAAATTAAGCAGCAAAGCTTATTTAAATCACATAGCAGTGCAAAGTTAAAAATAAATATTCGACTCCATAGTTTTACTGTATCAAATCAAGTAGTGACCACTCTACTACCATAACTTACTCTGTAGATACTTATGAAATTTTCCTGTTTGGAAGACCGAGTCGCAAACAAATGATTCAATTACTGGAACACTAAATACCAGCTCGTAATTCCCTTTTCCTCTATTACGCGACTGATATCGAAAATCGCATTACTATAATTCATTCGAATAAACGCTGACTGTTTGAAAACTTTTCTATACATTCTATACATTCGACAATTCAAACTTGTAATAATAACAACATAATTCAATGGCATAAGTTGATACATTATTTTCATTTTCTACATTTGTCTTCTCAAAATCGTGCAGTCAACGTGTTAATAAATATACACTCATCAAACCGTGTTGTTTATTTCTACAAATAAATATTCAACCGGAAACCGCGGCACCACGTTCGAGCGGCGAATCAACGGAGTACGGAATGATTCCCAGACGCCAGCGGGAGCTTCTAATCCCCCGGATCCGCGTCTAATTTCCATCTCTCGGACTTAGCTCCGGCGAGGCATCCTCCGCCTCTATCATCATCGTGTCCCGCGCGTCGGGAGCTGGCCGGTGACTCAGCTCCGCCGAAGGGGGAGTCGCGGTTTCGTCCGACCACCCTTGCGGTGTCGATTTCTCGCGCGAGCCTCCGGTAATAAAGAGCGGCGGCGCCCGACAGCCGCGGTATTCCCGAGGTCGTACCTACGGACGTCAATCCTGGGGAATTTTGACGCGGATAAAAGCAAGCTGCCCTCTCCGCGTCTCGCTCTCTCCACGGCTGTGCCGTCTGCATTGCCAAGGTCGATCTAATCTTGGCCCCCATAAGTAAGTGGAGAGGAACCGTCCGCCGTGGCCGCGTTCGACGCACTCGAAAGTGCAACGAATCGCTAGAGAGCTTCTTGGAATCTGCCGAATGCCCGCGCGGGGGGAGCTTCCGCGGAGAAGAGGAACCTCGATTCGCGTGGCCCTCGGGACGCTTGCGTCCGGCAGCCGAGTGCAGGTTAAAAATGGTGCATGGATCTAGGGTTTTCTTGGGGTATTCTTTGATGAGAGTTGGGCGAATTGTGAATGGAATAGTTTTCTGTTTGCGATGTTGTATTGCTGGGCATAGTGGGTTTTTCTTCTGGGTTGCTAGAATGTTGGGTCTTCTGTTCTGGGATGGTGAGGATACTAGGTTTTTTCTTCTGGGTTGCTAGAAATATTAGGCTTTTGTTTCTGGGTTGCTGAGAATACTAAGTTTCTTCTTCTGGATTGCTAGGAATATTAGGCTTTCGTTTCTCGATTGCTAAGAATGTTGGGTCTTCTCTTCTGGGTTGCTAAGAATACTAGGTTTTCTCTTCTGAGTTCTTAAGAATATTAGCCTTCTGTTTCTAGGTTGCTAAGAATACTAAGTTTCTTCTTCTGGGTTGCTAGGAATATTAGGCTTTCGTTTCTGGATTGCTAAGAATGTTAGGCCTTCTCTTCTCGATTGCTAAGAATACTAGGTTTTCTCTTCTGGATTGCTAAGAATATTAGCCTTCTGTTTCTAGGTTGCTAAGAATACTAGGTTTTCCTTTCTAGGTTGCTAAGAATATTAGGCTTTAATTTCTGGATTGCTAAGTATGTTAAGCCTTCTCTTCTGGATTGCTAAGAATACTAGGTTTCCTATTCTGAGTTCTTGAAAATATTAGCCTTCCGTTTCTGGGTTGCTAAGGATACTAGGTTTTCCCTTCTGGGTTGCTAGGAATATTAGCCTCTCGTTTCTGGGTTGCCAGGAACATTAGGTTTTCCCTTCTGAGTCGCTAAGAATATTAATCTTTCATTTCTGGGTTGCAAAGAACGTTAGGCCTTCTCTCCCGGATTGCCAAGAACACTAGATTGTCTCTCTAACTCCCTAAAAATATTACCCTCTCGTTTCTAGACTCCTAAGAATACTAGGTTTTCAATTAAAAACCGTATAGAACACAAAGTTCCCGACTTCGAACCACGAAGAATCCATCCTCGACTTAGCTACGCATAACGAAACTACGATTCTAATTCGCGGCGAGACGAAGGTCCCCCGGCACAGCGCAACAGCGTGATCGACGAAAACGACAGGCGACGCGGGCGGACGCGATCGCGAGCGAACCGAAATAGGTATCTGGCATCGTTCCGGTCCCGTTCGCGAACTCTATTGCCAAGGACGGGTCCAAGGCAGAAGGATACTTCAAGGCGAACGGAGGCGATCTTCTGCACCGATGCGCTCCGTGAAAGTGGACGGTATCGGGCCACTTCGCTGGCGCGGAACGCCGGGGATCGTTAAACCGTCTGGACCCGTTTCTGGCCGCCGAACGAACATGGAAACCTCTCTTCCCGCGCAGTCGGGGTTAAACGTCTTTGTTCCCAGCCGTCGTTTCGCCGATAAACGAGGAATCATGTTCTTCAGGTAGCAGGATGCAGAACGGCGCGGCACGTGACGCCGCTCCGAAAAATACTGCGCATCGACGGCACGATCGGCGACGGGCGTTCGAATCTCAGCTCCGAATTCCAAGTTCAACACCGCAGAAACTCGAATCATTCACGGTCAGATTCCACAAACCTATGCGACTCTCAAAAACATGCAAAACCTTCAAAATCTCGCCTTGGATTCGACAGATCTTGAAAACCTAGGAACCTTCGAATCCCGATCTTTCCACGACTCTATACCGAATCAATCTCTTTTCAAGACTTTTATATTAACAATTATTACCGAACTATATTCCCCCACTTCCCCAAGTGTATCTCCTACCAGCCACCAAGCCTATCGCGTAACATCTCCGTGAAATAAATCTGGACTATCTTCGCCGTTCGAAATAATTCAGATCTCCCCGATTCGAGCCGATTCGACGTGTCTCGGAGCTCGTCGGTGGGTACGAGGCGAGGACGGAGGCATCGATAAGGATTCTCGCGTGTGGAGGAGAGCCGAGCAGCGCGAGAGAGCGTGCTCCGTAAAATCGAGCCCACGACGATCTTAATCTTCGTCGACAAGGTCGATATACCGAGAACACGAGGTGGCTTCCTCTCCCCACCCGGTCCCCGCGTTCTCCTCTTCTTTCCGCCGCGATGGGATCGTAGCTTAGCCTCCGAAGGGATCTCTCGAACCGGATGCGAGAGCCTACGGAGATCCCACCCCCGCGGCTCGCGCGAATTTCACCGTGTACCCGCGGACTCGCGCTATCAAGGTCGGCCGCGAGAGACCAGTCTCGATCCGACCGGGGAATATCTAATCCCGGTGTAATCAGGTGGACGGGACGGCGCTCGTAAATCTGTTCCGCCATCCGGGAACAAGAATTCCGCGGCCGCCGGCGGTATATCATCGATCTCGACTACCGAGCGGGCAGCGCGGCCGCGACTCGCCGCGTATCGGGCCAGGTATGCGCGTACGTACACACTCCCCGACTCCGATTCCCGTCCAGGCCGGACGCTCTCCTCGGCATTGTTATTAATTACCGCGGCTAATACGTTCTTTTGTCACGCGATAATCGAAAGCGAGTACCAGAGACGCTTACGCAACGCCGTTGGGCAACGGCCTCGTAATCGCGCGCGTTACGAAAAGACGGACGCGTGAGAATACACGAATCAGCGCGTCTGACATTTCCGCGGAATCTCCGATGCCGTCGGTTTCTGCCGGCGGGATGACAGTGATATCTCTCCGATCATGAATCACTGTTGAACGACTTCAATAGGTCGTTGCTTTCGGTTAGCCTCCGGTTAATGATTCGCTTTGCTCCCTAGAATTTCACTCTTCGCGCTCTACGGACGATCAGTCACTCCGGTGCTCGGCGGTATTGTGGAATGATCGATATTCCTAATAACCTCCGAGCGCAAAGGGTTAAAGCATTCGCGATTTGTTCCAGTAGCAATCTCAGTCGCGACTTCATCCAACGTGAAACAGCGTACTCTCGAAAGCAGGAACTCGAGTCTTCGGATAAGATACAAAATGACGTTCGAGTACGACAAATACGTCGAGCCCTAACTATCGATTCGACTCACCGTGTTGGTGACGTCCGCCTGCATGCCAGACTCCTCCTCGACCCCGGCTTTCATGAGGTCCTCCTCCTTCTCGGTGTCCGGGCTGTTCAGGTACTCGTCGTAATCCTGCTCGAGGCTCTTGGTCTTCGCCTGGGTGTCGTCGGTCTTCGATTTGGCCTTCTTCTCCTGCCGATCGACGCTCCTCGCCGCGACGGCGCTCGCGTTCCGCGCGGATTTACGGTCCACCTGCGAGTCCACTTGCTTGCTGGCGTTCAGGGTCCTCCTAGCCGCGTCGGCGTGGTGCAGCGAGTTCGCTTTCCCCTGGACCATCACTCTGGACAGATTCCTCGGCTCCATTCTCAGATAAGCGAACGCGTCTCGTTTCGCGTACTTCTCGATCCCGGCGTTCCTGTAGTCCCTCTTCACCGAGGACTTCGGGGTCGTCGGGTCGTCGGACGTGAGCCTTCTGATGATATCGTCGTACGTCTTCAGAGGAGCCTTCCTCTCGTTCTTGTAAAAATCATTATCGAACTCGTCGTCCTCCTCCGTCTGGTTCTCGTCCTCCGTCTCCCTCCAACCGTCCTCTTCCTCCTCCTGCTCGTCCCAGTCCTCCGCGCGATCGTCGTAGTCCTCGGAGTCCTCTATCTTCCTGCGACCGCCGGAAGACTCCGTCCTCCTCCTCCACTCGTCCAGCTTCCGCGCCTCGTCGGCGCGGTGCCTCTTCGCGTCGAGACGCCGGTCGCGTCTGGAGCCGATTCTGCGGCTCCTGCCGTTCCTGCGCCAGGCGCGGCCGTCGTCCTGCGACTCGTAGCTGCGGGACCTCTCCAGGTCGTCCTCGTCGTCCTCGTAGTCCGACGAGTCCCTGTTCCTCGAGTGGTCGAGCTTGTGTCTGGTCTTGTCCTTCTTCCTGACCCTGCGTCCGCGACGATCGTCGTCCTCGACGCGGTGGCCGCGGTGGTACCAAGCGGGGTAGCGCTGGTCCAGCGTCAGCCCGTGGAAACCGGGGTGCAGGAAGTCGAAAGCGTGGCAGCCCCACTGATCCCTGAACTCCTCGTCGTCGTCTCGGTAGGCGGACGCGTCCGCCAAGTGTTTCGGCGCGGGCGACAGCAAGCGCAGGGCGTCGAGTAGCTCGCGTTGCTCGCTGGCCCGTCTGGCCGAGGACTCGCTGTGCCCGTGTCTGTGCCGGTGCCGCGGGTCCGCGTCCTCCTCGTGCTCCCGGTGCCTGGCCTCGGCGA